AGATTACCTGGTGAAACTACCAAAGAAGGGAGACCTAGGACTCTGCAAGAACTGGCGAGGAATCATGCTCCTGTCGACGCCAAGTAAAATCCTGAGTCGCATCATCCTGGAGAGAATAAAGGACGCACTGGATACAGAACTCCGAGCAGAACAAGCTGAATTCAGGAAAGGCAAATAATGTTCTGACCAAATTGCAACTCTACGCATTATCATCGAACAAAGCATGGAATGACAATCGAACCTCTACCTCAACTTCATAGACTTTGAGAAGGCCTTCGACAGCGTTGACCGCGAAGTAATTTGGAAACTACTCAAGTACTACGGCGTACCCCAAATATTCATCAACCTTATTCAACAACTGTACGACAACGGCACATGTCAAGTGATCCACAACGGAAAACTCAGCGAAGCGTTTGGAGTAAACACAGGAGTCAGACAAGGGTGCTTATTATCACCAATGATATTCCTAATTGTGGTGGACTGGACTAGATTATGCGTCAGACAGTGGGAAACGAGAAGATAGGGATATCCTGTCCTGACCGACGTGAAGAACCTAGAAGACTTGGATTTCGCGGATGATTTATGTTTGATGTCACACAAAATCGAAGACTTACAAGCAAAAACCGACAAACTGGTCGAAGAAGCAGCAAAGACAGGACTCCAGGTGAAGATAGACAAGACGGAGGTTATGAAAATAACCAACCAACAACAACAACAACAGCAACATCCAGCGCCAATCACCATCAACGGGAAGGATTTGAAAGAGGTTAGTTTATTCACTTATCTAGGGAGCATTGTCTCAACTACAAGAGGAACGGACGAGGATGTCAAATCGAGAATCGGGAAGGCGAGAAACACATTCATCAACCTGAAACCCATCTGGAAATCTTCGTCACTCAGCAACACTCAACAACAAAATTCGGATTTTCAATACAAACGTCAAGTCAGTCAGTTCTTCTATACGGATCAGAAACTTGGCGGGTCACAAAGAATATTTCCAACAGCCTGTTGCAGACCTTTATCAACAACTGTCTTCGTTCTATACTCAAGATCAGATGGCCGGAAAGAATCACCAACAAGAACCTATGGGAACAAACGAAACAGGAACCAATCGCCCAACAAATATGCAGAAGAAAGTGGAGATGGATTGGACACTCGCTGAGGAGGCCGTTGAGTGACATCGCGCGTCAGGCCCTCGAGTGGAACCCGAAAGGGAAGCGGCGAGTGGGACGTCCAAGGGTGACATGGAGGAGATCGTGTGAGGAGGAGATGAAACAGTATGGACTAACATGGATGCAGGTGAAAAGTACGGTAGAAGACAGAAGCAAATGGAGACGTGCAGTTGAAGCCCTATGTTCCACTAGGAACCCAAGGGAACAATAATAATATATATTATATATATCTATACTTATACTTACTGATACATACTTATTTTTGCATGTAGATGTACACCAGGTTTATCCGACTAGAATAAAAATAAGTTAGGGTTATTGTTGTCAAGACGTTTCAAAATTGTGATGATTAATCAGACTGTAACTAGGGGGTGGGTGTGAAGACTGGTAAGAAGGTAGTGGTGATGTGTTGTCAGAAGGTATATTTATTAATACATAAAAGAAGTTGAATAAGCGTAATACAGTTACGTAATAAGATGAATAGTTTGATGAGTGAGTTGTGATTAGGATGCACATAGAAACAAAGGAAAATATGGAATTATGCAAGAGTTCTAAAAATTACGAATGCTATAAGGAGTTAGAAGAAAACAAAAAGCACACAAACATCAAGTCAGTCAAAGACAACACGGCTGTTACCATGATAGTAGAAGTGGTTGGATGTTTTTCTTTTGTATACATAACTCTGGTTTCTCCAACTGAATGGATAAGGCTTCAGCAATACAAAGGAGACGAAAGTGTACTGCCTTTGATAGGTCCCTTTGAAGGAGACGTTTGTTGAGATGGAATGACCAGTGTTGATGAGATGTTCGATTATCAGACTCCAGCCACTATTACCTTTTTGCAGTCATGCAGGATAGCGTTGTCGGCAAAAATATCAAACTGAAGGTCTAGAGGGAGAAAACATCACTTGTTTCAAAAAAGATAATTTACATGAATCTGAACTTCAAGGGATACTTAGCTTGTGATATCTTCAAAAGGAGAATTTCAGCATCTTTGAAAAGGACATTCTTCGCAACGACGCTGAGAGTAGTGTTCTCCAGTTGCCCATTGATTTGCAGAAGCCTTAAGGGCAAGATCTTGCATCTGGTCACTTCTGTGGGCATATATCAGCTCATCTGTTACTGTGGAGTCAGGTACATTGGTCATTTGACGCGCATCCCACCCATAAAAGTTCTAGAGCATTATACTGCATGGCTGCTAAAAGGTAATAGTGGCTGGAGTCTGATAATCGAACATCTCATCAACACTGGTCATTCCATCTCAACAAACGTCTCCCTCAAAGGGACCTATCAAAGGCAGTACACTTTCGTCTCCTTTGTATTGCTGAAGCCTTATCCATTCAGTTGGAGAAACCAGAGTTATGTATACAAAAGAAAATCATCCAACCACTTCTACTATCATGGTAACAGCCGTGTTGTCTTCGACTGACTTGATGTTTGTGTGCTTTTTGTTTTCTTCTAACTCCTTATAGCATTTGTAATTTTTAGAACTCTTGCATAATTCCATATTTTCCTTTGTTTCTATGTGCATCCTAATCACAACTCACTCATCAAACTATCCATCTTATTACGTAACTGTATTACGCTTATTCAACTTCTTTTATGTATTAATAAATATACCTTCTGACAACACATCACCACTACCTTCTTACCAGTCTTCACACCCACCCCCTAGTTACAGTCTGATTACTCATCACAATTTTGAAACGTCTTGACAACAATAACCCTAACTTATTTTAATTCTAATCGGACAAACCCAACGTACACCGTGAACACATCTAAGTCATCCGCCTGAACTACAAATATTCTCCATTATTCCAGCCAAACTAATTGTCTGCAGTATTTGCTGTTCAGTTATGCGCGACGGATTTATCAAGTATCGTGATACGAGTCACAAATATGGTATGAGGGATGATATGATTCTACCCAGATATCCAAGCTAAAATACGTGGAACGATATTCGGATGCAATACAAATTGACTGAAATTTAAGTACCGAAGCCAATGAGTCGTATCTTGACTCCAATAAGGCGAAGTTTAAGTAGTTTAGCATGTTATAAGTAAATTGTGTTGCTTGCAATTCCCAGAGACACCTATTTGTCGAACAGTCAGTCAGATACTACTCTAGTATGACTCTATGGTGGGTACTGCATCATTAGGAATGAAGTAAGAAGTTGTGTGAGTACCTTGATATGATTATGAGGAATAGTTTGTGCTCGAAACGTGGTCATCAGTTATTATTACTGTATAACACTGTGTTACTTATCAAAATAAAATTTTATCCATAATGGAGTTATCGGGGATATTCTATTTGATTCTCACTCAGGTACTTCTTATGGTTGTTTATTTTTAGTTGACTAATTTTGTTCAACATTACTTATTTTGTACTTGAGCAGATTCTTCGACCGTATAGCTGTCTGCCAGCATCGATGAGGTAATTTTGACTACCTGACGTGCTATTATTTTTTAATAGTACAAGAGATTTTATCACATATCAGTGAAGTTTTGCAGTCGCCGGGACATTTTCGGACTGGACGTTAGTCAAGGAAGTTTTGGTTATTAGATGGAAAGAGGCAATCGGCAGGAAACCCTACCTGACATAGGTTTCGTGCTAGTTGGCACTCATCAGCAAGGCGTATTTGCAACCTTGAAGGAACTCATGTCCCACCCTTCTGAGATTCTAACCCGCGTCACCCAGTGAGTACTGCAGTCAGAGACGTTACCACTGAAATATTCAGGCTCGCGATTGACCTCATGTAGGACTGTATTGGATATTTTTGATTTCACACTAGTCAGTAACTAGTGTAATGTGTCTAGTCCTATCTTCAGTGCAGACTGAATTCTATCAGTCAAGCTTGCAATGTGGCCACCATGCCACTAGGTGGCTCGCTATTACGGTGACGTGGGTTCGAATCTCAGAAGGGACATGAGTTCCTTCAAGTTGGTTACAGATACGCCTTGCTGATGAGTGCCAACTACCATTAAACCTATGTCAGGTAGGGTTTCCTGCCGATTGCCTCCAACAATCTAATACCAACAATTCACAGTGCACCGTAATGGCGAGCCACCTAGTGGCATGGTGGCCACATTGCAAGCTTGACTAATAGAATTCAGTCTGCACCGAAGATAGGACTAGTAACATTACACTAGTTACTGACTAGTGTGAAATGAGAAGTTTTGGTTAGCTATACAGTGGAACGCAAAGATTAATTTCCAGTGGTCAGACAACAGCGAATCAGTTTTGTTCACTGCAGTACTCAGCATATCAAAGCAATACGACTGGCAGAGGAACAGTGAAGATGTTTTCGAAAACTGTTGTGGAGAAGGAGAAAATGGAACCCTCCAGAAACACGGCGAGTCCACCCTAGATACATTTTCATGTTATGACTCTCCTTTGAGTAGGGGATCACTTTAGGACTAAGTCAACGGTAGTATGAGTTAAGACAGCAACAGGTATTAGAAATCCGTAAGTTTCAGGCTAGATAGAAAGCAGAAATCCAGAGGTTAGAGAAGAGAAAACTGGGTTTGCTACGACTAAACAATAACAGTCACGGAGTTTTTCGGATCAGTATAGCCCCCTAACGGTGATTTGTTGGGATGATTATGCACTTTTGATATATTTTCTAATCGTTCAACAGTATCACAGATTTGAACCGTCTTTTTACTACTGGCGAGAGAGTTTCGAACTGTGAGTCACTCGAGGATGTTCGCTTACCTATACGGAAGAACGCAGCGATTGTTTCTTTATATTCAGATCACAATATGTCAGGTTTGGCCGCTACAATACACACTAGAGAAGGGTGTTTGAAAATAACAATGATGAAAGAGATATGCATTTATGGAGAGGAAAAAAATATTTGCAATAAAACGTTTATTAGATGTATTATATATCTATTATTTTTATCATACGTAATCCATAGAAATTTACAATTTAGGTGTTTGTATAACCCGAGAGACACATACAGAAAGCGATTCAAGGATGTAATGGTGTACTCTTCACATAGAGTATGTAACACAACTCACATGTGTACTCAAGCGTGCACACAAAATCACACACGTACGCGCACCAAACATCGAATAAAATTAAAATAACAAATAGACTTCCCCCCATTTTTTTTCCTTTCTAATACAGAAATAAAATAAGACTATCTATTTATTACAATATAAAGAATATATCTGCAGGGAAATACAGTTTGACAATGATGTTAAGCAGTGAAGGAAAAGGAAGAAAAAAAGACACATTCGACTGTGATAATTTACATCTTAAGAAATAAAAATTATTTCAGAATACTACACAAATACAGGGCATCTCATCGAGAGCGGGGCAAGTTAACTCGGAAGGGAATATTATTATCATTAATAATAATAATAGATTCTTAATTTGTACAACGAAATAAGTCGAAAACAAAAATAAACATGAAAGATAGGTCGGATAAAATTGAAATATACAATAAATATTATATATTACTAAAAAAGAATTTAAGTAGTAAGTGGTCAATTTCAAAAGAATATTCGTCAAATCATAGGTTTAAAAAAAAGATAATATAGATGGGATAAAACCTATATTGTATTAAAAAAAAACAACAACAAAATATAAAGTATACACACGGATTATCTCTCTCTCTGAGGAAAAGAGAAAAAAAGCTACAACACCGATCTCCTGACATAAAAAAGTAGCATTATTACTGCTACTACTAATAATAATAATAATAATAGTGGTAATGATAATAAAATTGTTGGATGGATGTTAGTTAGTTTTCCGGGCTTAGGGAATCAAAAATATATACTCTTTTTTTAAAAAAGAGGGTCAAAAGAAATAATGAACAGAGTAGGCATGACATCTTGAGTATGCATGTATTGTTCTAATAAATAAAAAGAAAATCAATTGAGAAAAAAGTAGAAGAGGAGGCAGAGGAGAAAAATATCTCATTGTGTTTAGAAAATCTCTGGAGTTGAAATGAAACTACTCAAATATAGATATTTATATATACACATAATTTGCTCAATAGGTTAAAGTACTATATATATATACACAAGGTATAATGATATTATGAGTAATCATATTTGGGATAAATAAAGTATTAAAGCAATTAAAAATACAATATACTATTAACTAATCTTATCCTGTATTGGAAGTTAGGTGGTTAAAATTAGTTCACATTAATGAGTGTATAAATATGTAGAATAGACATATATCCACTGTTCTCCTTATATTGTTACAATGTAGAGTAGTAGATCATAGAAGTTTAATCATCCCTTCATCACATACACATTTATCACATTGACAAATGAAAACAAAATAACTGAGCCAGCCCCACTGGACACACATAACGGGGATTGTTGTGCTGTTAAAGGCAGAAATTTTCAAAGGAAAAAAAATCCATACACACACATAAAACTCTATTGTTTTTTTTAGGCACATCGACCTTTTAGTTCAGTTTCCAACTGAAGTAGACGTGTTTTTAACGCTTTATACTGACAGTATTGTGGACGCATACGTAATCGATCAGCACGTTCTACCTTTTGACCTATAAATGTGTATTGAAACAAACAATAAAAACACAATGGGAAAAGATTGAATATTGACCTTATGATTGTTGAAAATATATATATATATATACAAACAGATGATGATACGATGCTTTGTTTGTCTAATTGCTAACAAGTACACACCTTGACAGAGTAAAGGCGTTTCATTAAAATGAGAGGAGATTGTAGCAGAAGAGATTTGCAAGTTTATACGTGTGTCAAATTTGGGCATTGCGGGGTAGTGTATGGCATTCTATATTAACTTCTCCATTAGATATATATCACACATAAGAAACAGTATAAACAGTATAGACGTGATATCCGGCTATCGACCAAAAGGACATGTGTACTGCTCAGCAGTCCGCTTTGTCATGCTTTATGTGACACCTTCCATTGAGAGTGGAAGAAATAAAAAAAGCCTGTCTAGCTGTCTTTGATCATAGATGCCTGCGTTCTATCTCCCATGTTAGGTGCCGTGGTATAATAGGGTGAGCAATATTGAGGTTAGATCTTAGTCGAGTGATAGTTAAGGAGGGGAAATCAATCGACAAGGTTGTGAAGTTACATCGACTGAGATGGTTAGGACATGTGTTACGCATGCATGCCTAGCCATCGCCTTCGTCAACGGGCAATGTTAGTTGACATAGGGTCAGGTTCGAAAAGAGCCAGTGGTGGTCAAACCAGAACATGGCTTCATCAGTCAATAAAATCCACAACAGTTAGTTTAAGCCAGCCACGAAGGGAGGTGAAGACTGGCTTCCTGACTGCGGTCCTCGGGACGGTGAAAACCAATGAAGGTTGGAGACAATTGGTGATATGGCTCAAAGTGATCGTTCTCAATGGCTGGCGCAGATACATCCACTCCTTGTGACTTATAATACCCAATGAAACTCTACTGTTCTTCCATATTACTATTCTTTTTGCCTCATATCTCTATTTACTGTCTCTATTTTGCATTTCTTTTTACTTTCGTCTCTTCCTTTGTGTGCCACATGGAGTGTGGCGACTCAAACTGCTGTACATTAGTGCAAAGTTCTGTGTTGAAACCAGTTAGTCAGTTATAAGAACACAAATTCAAAACTTCAAATTCAAAGTTTGCTTTATTATTTCCCATTGAAATAATATAGGAGATTTGTAGCTCGGATGGGATGATTTTGATTTGGTTATGTGTTCTTTAAGCTGGTTGATTTAACTGCGAAGCTTTCGTTGTCCCCCGCCCCCCACTTCTAGACAAAATCTTTAGCACTGAAGATGATGTCTAGAAAGATAATGAAAGCTTCGAAATTAAATCGACCAGCTCAAAGAACATAATTATATTAGAAATTGCTTCCTATTGATCGATAACGGAAGCTTTATTCATAGAATCAACTGAAAATACGTATTAAATTAGTAATGATTCAACACTTGTCCACCCGGATATCTGGGAAATCGAGTTAGGCACGTCATCCAGTAAGTAATACTGCTTCATTGTGGGGCATATCAAATACACAAATCAACATGGAATCAAAAGTTTATTTTTGCCAGTCTCTAAGTATGCTAAGCATCGGTAAAAACTAAATAACCAATCTGTCTGTAACCAACAGACAAATATATCATTAAAACAATTAGTCCCTTTGATAAATTTGAATAAGGCATTTAGAAAACAAATTTCGATCCCTGTACCTATGATTAAAGGACGAAATTCTGTGGACTCTACTTCAAACTGTATCTACAAGTTCATCTGCAGTTGCGGTAGAACCAATAGAATATTCCAATGTCGTCGAAAAGAACATGCTCCAAAATGGCTACTAAATCATATAGAAAATCACAATGCGAGTAATCTGAATAGAAATCCAGCATCATCCATTGCAAAACACTTATTAATGTCAGGTCACAAAATCAATATTAATGACTGTTTCACAATTATTTCACATAACTCTAACTCAAGGTTATTGAAGGTGATGGAAGCACTTTTGGGGATTAATCACATACAGCCTAAACTGTGTGTACAAAAAACAATAGACTTCTATCTTCGCCTACCATGGACAATATGACTTATCTAAATATGATTGGTCATTAGTATGTACTTTTGTGTTTTTATTTAACTGAGTAATTGTCATGATCGCTATTTTATTATTGTTAACCATGTTAGTTGTAAAGCGGTTGTAAAGAAACTATGAAATGACGATATCATCTCGCGAAATTTGTCTTCTAAATGCCTTATTCAAATATATGATTCATAGTATTTACGAAATGAGTGTGTTGTACTTTCATCAAGGATGGAGTGACACTGGCTCCACGAGGAACTTTCTCTCTTTATTCGGGTTTGGAAAGGGTTAAACAGAAAAGTAATCTACGAGATAAAGATGTCGAAAACAGACAGAATCGCTAGAGAAGGTAAGACAGGCATTCATTAGTTAGAAACTACTGTGAAGACCTGAAGCACTTAACACAAAGAACAAAATCTGAATTTTTAACTTAGTGCTTCCAGATGGTTCAGACAGAGACTTGGCACACGTGTCATAGAAAGCGTTTCTAAACAGACTACAGCAAACTTCCATCAACACCCACCTCCACTCGATACTCAAGACTGGACACATACACCGGTCAGAAAGGATAAGAAACAAACAACTCTAGCAGTCAGTGAACCAACAGGACATACGCTGACAAAACACACCTTCAAGTGACGTCACACACACACACACACTAGGGGCTGGAGTGAAACCCAAATGAGCATCAACCAGTTGGGCATCCGATAGTGGCATAGAAACGTAAGAAAATGAAAGCTTGTAGGTAGTTGTGAAACCAGATATAAGAGAACAGAGTACAAGAGACATATGGTACTGGGAAAATAATAATAATAATTAATGGGTATTGCTAATCGTTTTTAGTCAATTTTGTCACTGCTTTGGAAACTTCTCAACCCCTATGGTAAGGTACAGCTAAGGTTGAGGTTAAATTTCTCCTTACTTTTAGGCTTTCTATTTTCTTACCATATTGTACATGTCATGCGTATATCAAACACATATACTTATCTATCTAGTATATCTTGTATAAGCTAATTGAATCCCGTGTCACATACTCCTCTTTATTTCGTTAATGCCTACTGTGTATAGTTCATCAATTGACAGATCTGTCATAATATGCAAATAATCCACTTCAAATAAACGTTCTTTTTTTTCATTAATTTTTTTTCATCTCATCTAATTTTATATGAGAACAGGAATTCGCTACTTAATTCTTTGCTACAAATCCTTATTTTAGTAACATACTATAACGGTAGAAGACGAGAGAATTGGTAAGGGGATGTTTATTTGCAATTTGGTATCTCAATATAGCCAAATTATGTACACCGTGTTGGGCTACTTCTGGCCTTCATATTGTGTTTCTTTGTGTTCCTTTCACGTCTCCCATGTATCTCCGCAACGCTGCATCATTTTCATTCTCTGACATCAAAACTATGTTACTGCTGTTTAATGTTTTTATGCCAATGAACGCCTCTCTATATACTACTGATAAACTTTATCAGTAGCAGACGCCGCGATACTTCCCGATAATTTTCATATACTGAATTCGGAACTCTAGTCAAACAATACCACACAGTTGGAATTAGTGTCATATTCATGTCGATCTTCTGATCATCAGATTTAGATTTTTAGACTAAATTCATGTTAGATTCTTGTCACCAATCAACATGAGTTAGACAGGTTATTGAAAACCAGCAGGGGAGCACTGGACAGCTGTCTCGACCTGTTTGAGGACTCCTCAGTAGTGCGAACCCAGGACCCCACCAGGGATCGAACCTCGGACTTCTTCCAAGTTACAAGACCGAACTCTTGAGCGGGAATTCAATTTTTTCACCCCTGAATTCTAATACCTTCGATGAGGATCCACTTCACACCCTGACATGGCGGACCTCATATGGTCACAACTTCGCACTTTAGCCTCAGAAGAAATTCATCCAGTAGTCATCATTCAGCTGGAGAATGACATTTAGATTATACGGTTTGAGGAGATTTTCGCATTAATTCCAGTTGTTAGATTTTCATCACCAACCAATATCAGTGACAAAGTTAGAATTCAGAGGGGGGGGGGGGGGGTCATTGAATTCCGAATAGCTGACTTACTCATATCATACACAATCAGTAGAACACAGAATCATGCACAGTTATACTTGCTTTCTTGACAGCCATTTATAGTATCAACCAGGCGATCTATTGTGATTTGAATAAATTCAGCAGTTTCCAGACGAAACTGGCATGAAAAACTAACCTCGAACTGTGTAAACTACAAACTGCGATCTGCTACGTAGACCGAAGATCCGATTGAACGTATAACGGATTCGCTCAAGGAGCTAGATAGAATCCGGGGTGATTTCAACTGATGAGTTCAGCCTCAAATGAGCGAAACAGTCGTACGGTATTTGGGTTCAATTTCATCTGGTTAGAGCACTACTACTACTGTTTGATGTGAGTGGTTTTCAACTACTACTCATATCGATCAACCAATCAATCAGTAGTAATATAAAATCATGTACAACACATCAGTGCTTACACACATCCGTGTCATGGTAGTTTCATTTAAATTAAGCAATAACTAAAGGAGTATAAAGATATTTATAACTGTAAATCATCTTACCAGTAGTTTGAGTAAATTCATGTTCGAAATCTTTTAAAGTTTTCTGCAATTGACGTTTTGATTCACGTAGATTACGTAATGCTGCCTTTAAATCATTAATTGACCAACTGGATAAATCTGATGATGGCATAGTTTGTGATGATCTAAAATATCAATTATGAAGATAAATCAAAGATAGTATATCATTGCATAAAAATTTAAACGCCAAATAACCAACCCAATGAGAATTAGTTTCTTCAAGTTCAGCCGACATATCTTGATAGCTAGGAGTCATCACTTCCAGTCTATTCACAGTGACTTAAAGGACACAACAAAGAGTTGTTGTTTTGAAGAGCTTCATGCAATTTAGCTCCCCCTGATAAAATTACAGTTCAACAGAAACATATCTCTATTTCTCTACGGCTCATATAATATGTTTGTAATTAATTCAGATATACGAATATTCAAGATAACATTTACACTGATTTTCTTAAACGACTTCGGTCACATCAATCAACTGAGTGATGAAATTGTAAATGGTCATACAGATTGATTACTATTCAAAGAGTAACAGCTTGAACAGTTTGTTATTTTTATTGGAGGCCTGTTTAAAGAAGATATAACCTCTAATGGTATTATCTACTCTTGTGTGTATTTAAAATGTTCACAAGCTCATGATTCACAATTTCCTACTAAGCTTGAGGAAGGGTCTGATTGTGGGTGGCAACGTGTCCCAATATATGCGATAACTGTTCTTTAATTATGTCCTTGGATCTCAAAATGTACTTTTGAACATCTTACAATTGACTTTCAACCAGACATCGTGGATTTTGGGAAGAGAAAAAGCAGATATATCATAGTGGAATGGTCAGAGACCGTTGTGTCACAGGATATACTGTCAATTAATATTTTACTTGAAGATATTGTACGAAGGAACAATATCATGCAATAAACCCCCTCTGAAAATTCTGTACATTTTATGAATACTGTCCAGAATAAAGATATTATTATTATTATATTAAAAGAAACAAAGTGGATTTGAAGCACATATAAAAGCCAACAGAATTATCAACTTCATACATTCCATAACTATTAGATATACTCAGTACATTAAATGGAGGTATAACACATCAAGTAATTCACTATTCATACAGGCCACTACTATTAATTAGATGACAGTCTTACTATAAAACTCAATACATCCGTTTGGCATGCGATTCGCCCCTGTAAAATGTAAGATGCTGCTACAGGACTGACTGGACTACGTCAACTCCTAGCTTAGTGATAGGGAGTGAAGTGATAGAACATGTTGACCACTTCACCTATTTGGGAAGTTGTATCAGCACCAACGGATTGATTGGTGACGGAATCTCAGCACGGATCCAAAAAGCTCGGGCTGCTTTCGCTAACTTACACCGTCTCTGGTGTTGGCGTGACATCCGGCCATCAACCAAGGGACGTGTGTACTGCTCAGCAGTTCGCTCCGTCCTTCTCTATGGCTCTGAAACATGGCCAATACGAGTTGAAGACATGAAAAGGTTGTCTGTTTTTGATCATAGATGTTTACGATCTCTTTCTCACGTTAGGTGGCATAATAAGGTAAGTAATGTTGACGTTAAGTGTAGAGTGTTGGGCAAAGAGGGAAAATCAATCGAAGAGGCTATAAAGTTACATAGATTGAGATGGCTACGTCACGTGCTGCGCATGCCTAACCATCGCCTCCCCCGACGGACGGGCATTACTAGCTGATATAGGTGCAGGTTGGAAAAGAGTAAGTGGTGGCCAAACAAAAACATGGCCTCATCAATCCATGAAATCCCTGACAGTTAAACTGAGTCAGGTAGGGAGATGCAGACTTCCGGGTTGGGGCCCGCCTTCGGGACTCTAAGAATCAATGGCTGGAGACAATAGGTGACATGGCTCAAAATCGTTGTCAATGGCTTACGCAGATGTATTCAGTCTCTGTTATCTTTCATATTGCTTTCTACTATTACTCACTCTGTTTCACTCTTATACTTGTCAAAACTCTATTGATTCTCTTCACTCATTTTTTTGTCTACCTTTGTGTGCTATTTGGAACGTGGCAACTCGAACTGCTGCACTTCGGTGCCAAGTTCTATGTTGAATCCAGACAGACAGAGACATCCGTGAAACGATATCTTCTGTTCCTGAAGCTGTAGATGTTTTTTCTCTCAGTCGAATTTCATCCTACCAGTTCAACACAGAGAAGTTTACAAAAGTGAATAGATCCTTATAAAGGAAAATTACCACGGATATATGTGATTCAAAATCGTCAAGGGTGCAAACACTTTTAATAATGCCACTACCAACCATCTCATCAATAAGGATCATGAAGTGAACACTATGAAATCCTTTAAAATTACCAATAGACAAAACAACTCAATTCTCTTCAAGTTTGCCGAAGCAATTTTTAACAAACTGTTCGGAAAGTAGCAGTTATCAGTTTTTCCTTGCCCTGGAAACTAGATGTCTTTACTCTCTCTCTCTATTTCATGTGATTACGTAATCCTTGAGTTTAACCTCTTTCCGCCTTTTCATATAGTGTAACTTTGCTTGTCTCTTATTTCTATGACTTGAATTGAATTCACCACAATGTTTCTCAATTTTATTAGTTACTCATCACCTCTTGTCTTCATTATGTAACTCTCTTGTCGTTGTATCCAAGCTTTTATTTTTGCTTAAACTTGAACATTCTGAGCCTTGTTAGTTGTTAAATTCGCAGTCTCCCGTCAACAGACATCATGTAACATTTGCAAGCATGCTGAAAATTATTCTGTACATATAAACTTAATAACTTCTTCAGGTTGTACACAGCTGACAAGAAGCCAACGAAATAAACGATGGTACCATCTGCACAAACTGCTGCTTTTGCCTTATTCAAAACCTAATACACGATACCTATGAATGCTTCCTTAGTATCATTGAAATACAGGTACTTAAAATAACAATTCCATGGCTTTTAAGTAATGCACAAACGAAAGGTAGGAGGCGAGTGTTCACTGTGAAATCACTACAACATCACAAATTAAGGAATTCAGCTTTACACATCTCATTTTGCATTAGATAAATAGATAATCATGGCCCAGATTGTTTAATTTCAGTAAGGAAACCAGTGTCTGTCTGGATTCGACATAGAACTTGGCACCGAAGTGCAGCACTTCGAGTTCCCACGTTCCAAATAGCACACAAAGGTAGACAAGAAAATGGGTGAAGAGAATCAATAGAGTTTTGACAAGCATAAGAGTGAAACAGAATGAGTAATAGTAGAAAGGAATATGAAAGATTACAGAGACTGAATACATCTGCGTAAGCCATTGACAACGATTTTGAGCCATGTCACCTATTGTCTCCAGCCATTGATTCTTAGAGTCCCGATGGCGGGCCCCGACCCGGAAGTCTGCATCTCCCTACCTGACTCAGTTTAACTGTCAGGGATTTCATGGATTGATGAGGCCATGTTTTTGTTTGGCCACCACTTACTCTTTTCCAACCTGCACCTATATCAGCTAGTAATGCCCGTCCGTCGGGGGAGGCGATGGTTAGGCATGCGCAGCACGTGACCTAGCCATCTCAATCTATGTAACTTTATAGCCTCTTCGATTGATTTTCCCTCTTTGCCCAACACTCTACGCCTAACGTCAACATTACCAGTAAACCAGTGTATTGTATTCACAGACTATAAGATCTGAAGGTCAGAGAATTCAAGTTTTTCTCAATGATTGATTCACAATTGATTTAAAAATTCATGAAAAATTCCCATTCGAACATTAATAGACAGAAGACAAGTAGTTCAGCGAAGAGTCTCTTTTCGGCGAATTCATTTACTACTACTCTCTTATATCAACATCCAATTCATCTGAACTCACTAATTGTATTTTCGTTTGACAAATTCAATGTACACACACATACAAAACAACCATATATATTTGCGATTGTACAGCTTTGAAAATGAATTCGCCGAAAAGAGACTCTTCGCTGAACTACTTGTCTTTTGATTTAAAAATATCTACATGTAAGAAAATTTCAATATACTAGTAGGACGTCGCTGATACTGTTGTGTACAAACATTTAAACTTCTGTCGGACTCTGAGCAACCCTCGTTATTCAACACAACTCTTCCCTCGCATCTCATCAAGTGGGACTAGAAGCAACTATAAAAGACTTTATGATCGGACGACTAAGTATAAAAAACTCTACGATACCTTATTTAGCACGCATTTACAAATACACCATCCAGCTCAGAGACCACAACTATGTCAAAACTACTTAACTGTAATTTTACATTCATATTCTTATTGATATTATAATCAATGTAAGTGACCTGCTAATTATTCCCCCACCTCCCTTACCATGTAAACAGATGCAATATTTTACTATACTGTATCAAACATATTGTTTGGAACAAAGCCATTATTATAACTGTTAGTAGCGATGATAATAATAATAATTATTATTATTATATACCACTGCTTAACTGGAACTTACTCAACATATTTGTCGGTTGTTGTTGCTGTTGTACTACTTGGCATAGAATTGATGGCATTATCAGAATTCGTAAGTATACGACGTCGATTTTTCACACTAGCCACAGAAACATTACTGTTATTCGGTCTCAATAAATCAATATTACTGCTGACTTGATTAATTCGTGGATTAGATAATGAAGATAAGGATAATGGTGGGGAATCATAGGGTACAGCTGGTGTGGAACCGGTGAAATTATCTTGATGATGATTATGCATAGGTGAAGAGTATTCATTTGTATTAGTACTTGAGCGTCTAGTTGGCCCACCACCATATGCTGTTGTCACTGCTGCCACTCCTCCAGATGAAGAAAATCCATTCTCCTGTTGAATACGTGGATACATCTCATTGGGAAGCTTATTCTGTGAACTGGAAGTATTAGTAGTCGTGTAATAATCATTATCTCCACTAGCTTGATTTCGTCTGCTTAAACCGACTGTACCAACTAGACAAATAAAAAGAAAAATACAGGTATTGATTAGCAGAGAAGGGGAAAAATACAATACTTTCGAATAGATGTATGTTCCAGATGCTTATTGTACCTATTCACTTCCCTGTAACAGATTGAATGAGGCAATTATTCTATTTGTTATATAAACGATTATATCAGCAGAAAGAAAACGATACTCTAGTCAATATCTAAACAGACACAATCCAAGAACACAGTTTTATTATCAGATTACTATTCATTCTCTGCGTTCCAAGTGGAATAATATTGCATCCGTTGTGCTCGGTTCACCAGCATTAATTTGAACCCACGCACAAGTTCTCACTTCTTCTCCCTGTCACTCTCAGATGACCAACTCGTGACTTCCTATCCATCTTTTACTGGAGGACCTGACGTGTGGAGTCACTTGTAGGTCTCCACAGTGGATATCCAATCCAACTTCATTTCCAACCGCCTCCTCGTGGTGCCCCTTGGGGGAGTTCGGTATACTGGGCCCAAGCGAAGCGCTGCCACAAGCATAAACAACATTCGCGTCTGGCTACGCAGCTCAAATGGATCCCCTAGCTTAATGTGGACTACGCGGGTCCCGGAGACCCAGATCAACGGAAATTTCGGCAAGAGAACTGCAACAGGTCAACTTGTGACTCACGATTAGCGGATGACCGTGGGTGGCTCGGTAACTCCAACACGGATTGCTGAGAGGGTATTCGGCATGAAGGCCAGTCAGAAACGGTATTCATGCAAGTTAGAAATGGATTGGTGATCGGGATCTTTTGTCCATGAAGCAGGATAGGCTGTCTCCAGTGCGTAAGCGTCCCTGGTTAGATGCTCCTGTTCCGTGACTGACGATAGAGAGGCACATGAGCTGTTCTAATTCGTAAAAAGCGACGTTTCAGGGACAAAGAATTGATCTGGAATGGTATCAGTCACTCGATCAGCTAGCACTACAAAAAAAGATGCACAATCTACCCGTCAAGTTCCGGTGTAGACAGCATTGGCTGTAATCACAGGCAACGTGAGTAAAACTCCATCAGGTAAGTGGAAGTGATGAATTCCTTTAAATCTCTTTCATTGATGGTGATTTGTATTTGTTGTTGCTGTCACTCAGAGGTATCATCATCACCTCTGTCTTCTTTCTGATCCCTTGAGGTTCAATCTCCTCTGCCTATTCTACCAACTTGTTGGTTTTTGCTCATATATATCTTCAAGGGTGTGCAACATAAGACATAAATAATCCATGAGATTCAGACAGATATTCTAAAGTCTTTTCGTCGGGCTAACACATATCCCATCTTCACATTCCACATGGAATACAAAATCACACTATCAACCTTATTCATGCTTATTAACCTTTACCAGAAGTATACAAAATCACCTAGTTTTATATTGTTCAAAAAGGGTATTCGTATAAAGCAGTTAAGGTTAAGCATTTATAGGAAACCGACACACTCTGATAAATACTATGAACTTTAATTCATCCCATCTAGAATCAATCAGTAAAGATAGGTTAAGTTAAATGTCTTTATAATCCGGCCAACAGCCTAACGAGTAGTAGGCCAGAAGATTTAAATAACGAAATCAAACAAATAAAGGAAATATATTACTGGTGAATAACTACCCACCAGAATTTATTCAGAAATATATATGAAGAACCCTAGAAAAACTAAGATTAGTAATAAAAATGACGAAAATAAAATAGGATTCAAAGCCTCTGTAGCACTGCCGTATAAAGAAGAGACGTCAGAGGCCTTGCCTTAGATAGGATTCTAAATGAGGCTGGGATTAGTGAGGGTGGTATTTAAACCATCGAACTTACGCAAAGATAAACTTTGTCGACTTAAGGACCCAATAGATCCAATTATGGAAAGTTGTATAATTTATCAAATACTATGCAATTAATCATCATGAGGTCAATTACAAAGGTCAAACTAGTAGATCGGGGTCAACGAGATCATTTGAACATAAAAATCTAGCTAGACCTAGAATGATGATTGACCCTGATAAGTTAAATAACCTAGAAAAAACAGAACTCAGTCATTGCACTGCATTCACTTGCATGTTATCACAAAATAGGGTGAGAGCATTAAAAAGTAAAATAGTTAGGTAGAGAGAGAGAGAGGTCAATCACTGAAGCTTAGTTTATCGATTCAACACCCCACACATGCAATCGGAATGACGCAACGCCTATATCGGAGATATGGAAAGTGGCAACAAACAACAAAGGGAAGTTGGATAGACAGAAAGAGACAAAAATATATCAGTTAGAGAACCATTGAAAACCAGCAACGAGTACTGGACAGCCAACTGTTTCATCCTAGTTTGGGAATCATCATCAGTACGCACCCACTGGGATTCGAACCCAGGACCTTCCGGTTACAAGGCAAGCTCACATGCCATTCAACCACTGGGACCTGATTCAATGGCCAGCTCATGAATTCTAACTTCTACCAATTCGTGATGCATTTAGCGCAACCACCAACCAATGTCGTCGGTGATCAACTCGTAAAAAGAAAACAACTAATCCTTACAAACCAACTATAGAAAAATATAAGTAAGACAAATTGTGAAACCATGTGACTAAAATTGATATGATTATGAGTAGCAACAATTTATGCTCGAAACTGCATCAATCACTGTGTGATTATTAAAATAAACTTTTCTAATATGGAATGACATTCTACCATAGTGTCAAAGGTTTTCCACTTACATCAAGTGAGAGAGACCTTGTGGGTATAAATAAACAAGGAATATAGTGAAGAAAAGGAGGAAGGAAGCATTTAAAGAGCAGCATAAAGAGAATGAAGCGTCGGTGGCATAGCGGTTAGGACGCTCGCCGACCATGCACATGGTCCGGGGTTCGATCCCTGGCCATCGACGCACTCCTTTACCTCGCTAAGCCAGAAATAATGCTGGTGAAGAGGAAAGGTTGGGCATGAGGCTAGCAACCTCATCCTGTAAAAATAATCACCACTGCTACAGAAATTTCAAGCCTCTAGCTTAAAGCCGTATGTTCCACCGGGGAATGTGAAGGAAAAAAATTAATAATTGAAGAGAATGAAAAGAACCAGAAAGGAACAAGATGGAAATTCAACATCAACAACAACAACCACAATAAAACTTACACCACTCATTATTGCTATTCTGTCTTTTCATGGTGAAATCATTCAAATTCTGTTTATCTGCATGTGATAATCTATCAAGACGGCTTGCTGATGTTGTTGTTGTAGTTGTTGATCTGTTAATATCCATCCTATGACCAGATTTAATTGTTGATGAGATTGACTGTTTTTGTGTTACTTCAAAATCACCCTCCTCATCGTCAACACAGTCATCATCAACAACAACATCAATATCACCTGGCCGACTGTGATGGTGCTCACTGAAATTGTTCTGACATGCAGGAATCGAAGAATATGTAGGAATATTAGATGGTTTTAATGATAATGAAACAGAAGAGGATGGAATATGCGAAGTGCGTGAATAATAGTTATCATATACAGAGGATGTATTATCATTGTATAATCGATTAGATAATTGTTGTATAGTGGAATAGCAAGAAGAAGAAACAGGAGTATTTGATTTATATGAAGATGTATTATTATTGATAAACATACCAGTTGTTGTTGACTGATGAATAGATTTCATTGGATGATTGTTACTATCAAAATGTTGATGATGATTAGGCAGAATAACCGGTGATTGTATTGACTTTCGACGAACAATATCATCATTGGATGGAATAGACAAATAACCATCGGTATCACTATTCTCTTCTGTATTCTCAGGTAAATTAACATTTTGATTAGATTGTATACTGGCTAGAAGACGTTTAACACTACGATAACGATCATACAATGGTCGCATTGTAATACGATCTTCACGTTCTTTTGGTCGACCATGAAGATTTTCAAAATATAATAACGCTTTCTGTAAGGCTAATTTTTCAGCTTCAATCTAGAAGTAGTAGAGTAATAGTGAACAGATGAAGTAAAAAATCAATGAATTAATTAATTAATTTTAATGACAAACATCATTATCACTACAATTACAACCCTTGGGGACAGAGAGGCCACATGCTATTGGGATAAATGTATTGGTCATGGGAAATAACTACATAAAGCCATTTAATTGGTGGATGGTGACTAGCAGTGGAATCTAAGATGCGCATTTCGTCCTACTTGGGACTCGTCAGTGATGAACATCATCACTCACTAGGAAATGCAGGTACATCCAGCTGATGACGAGTCCCAAATAGGACGAAATGCGCATCATGGATTCCACTGCTAGTCACCATCCACCAATTAAATTATAATTAAATGCCCAGACATCGTCGAAGCATCTGCACAAGAAGCCGACATGTCAACCTGAGACCGAGCACTTCGGTCCAATCAATCGACGGGAAAATCTAAAATTCAATTAAATAAAGCCATTTAGTTTATGAGGTTTTGTAGGGATTCCGATTAATTTCGATGTAGATTTCGTCTCAAAGTGATATCAGTTGAAGGATTATTGAAAACCAAGGGGTGTTGGTTGCTGCCTCGTCCTAGTTTCGAACTCTTCGTCAATGCTCACCTACGACCTAACTAGGGATCGAATCTGGGATATCCAAGTTATAAGGAAACGTAACTAGTGGAGTCCAACATACGCCAAGGTGAAGTGGATGCCCATCAATACCATTGGTTGGTGACAGCACTACGTCGCAAATTACCACAGTTGGAATTCATGGGTCACTGAATCCCACCCAAAATGGCTGAATGGTCAACGAGTAAGCCTCGTAACACAAATGTCCCGGGTCTGGTGCACGCTGATGAAGAGTCCGACACTGCGACGAAACAGCTATCCAGTACTCTCTGGTTCTCAGTAATTCTCAAACTGATGCTGGTTCCTGGCATAATCTCTACAGTGAGAAATAAAAATCGCTGTGATTTCTGGTCATTCCTCATCGACCTGTTAGAATAAATCTTGCCTTCTCACTCTGTCCATCACCATCACCACCTAAATATATGAAAATAGTATTCAAACAGTCATTTGTTTACTATAATGTGTTAAGGCATTGTGGCCGAATGACAACAGTCTTCCTAGTCCTCCACCAGTCAGTTAGGAAGAATTCTGAATCACGTATTGTCCAGTCACTTCAATTAATGACGTAGTAATTGATTCCAGTGACCATTTATTAAAAAAAAATTCACTTGCATGGTATTCACAACACAGACTAAAGATGTTTTGAGAGTCGGTCAACCGATACATTATGAGCTTGAAGACAATCTCACATACCGAGACCTGGATAGCCATTCAAATAATATACCTGACTCATTTGCTTAGTGCATACATCTACACATAGTTTCTACATTTATTTCAAAAACACTGGCCATCTATAGGCAGATAAGACGATGATATCTGAAAACTAAACAATTCATTGACCACGCCTAGTATAAACAATACAAATAAGTGGGAGCAGTGTAGATCATCGTGTAAAGCTGGATTTGTTTCCCAGAGAGAGTGTGTGTGTCGATGTACTGATTTCTCGAACAAAAGCAGTTAATACCACCATTTGGTAGGGTTCAACTTAGATTGCTTACTACTAATAAAGTAGGTTTATCCACAGAAACAACCTCTAACAGACTAAACTTTTCACTGCTGTAGGAAGAAAGAATTCCTAAAAATAAAACTCTATAGTATTAAGCGTTTTTCAATTGACAAGACTATCATGCAAGTAGGTGATTCTTCTTTCACTTTCTATACACAAATTGACAACCACGAATTATTTCAACAGATTCAATTGTATAACATCTGTCTCGTGGTAATATGGCTTCTGGTCATAATATATCCCTGCAAGCAGTCTAGACGTTCACATCTACATATATATATAAAGTTTGGCAAGATGCATATATTACATTTCCTACAGTTGATGTCATGAAAGGCACCCTAAAATAGTCTTACGCGCAACCTTCCACATTTTTCCGGGCTAATTAATGGTTAGTAAACTATGCAAGGCTTAGGAATGCGTCGATTGGAAATCAAATTCTGACCTCTAGGGTCAAACATTCTACCAATTAAACCACCGATGCAGGGGGCACGTTATTAGCCAAGTAAAATGTTAGTGACAATAAATAACCTTGACCTTACAAAGCATTATACTGGGAAATGTTACAGGAACTTAAACAACAACAAAAAATAAAAATGACTTACTTGTTTAGGATTCATAAGATGAAGAGATTCAGGACGATTTGCACTGGCACGTTTCTCTGCTAACCGATTTGAAAGGAGTAGAAAAGTACTTTCAACAGTTGGTTTACCAGTAGTATTCGACTCTATTTGACCTGCTGCTGCTGCTGCTGCTGGATTTCCATTTTCAGCTGCTGCATTCAATTCCATTGATGGTTTAGAAGGGATATAACTACTTGGTGAACGAAGTTCTATAATTGTTAAAGAAAAAGTGAATGTACAGAAATTTATGGATAACGACCCTTGCTTGGTGTAGAAAATTTTCAATGATGCAATAATAATTCAATGTTCAATGACATGATAGCGGAATTCAAAGTGATGACAACCTGTGATTCCCAGCAGGAATGCACACTATCCCACGTTTTTATTGAATTTCATCATAGATATATCCGATGGAATTCACTCTAACCGACTTTGGTGACTTAGGGATTGTTAACAGGGAAAAGTCTTATCAACTTGGAGTATGCAGATGATACTCTGCTTTCAAGTGAAGACACCGACTAAATGTAGTCTTCCGAACTGACCAACTGACTGGTTTCAACGTAGAACTTTGCGCAGATGTGCAGCAGTTCGAGTCGCCACACTCCAAGAAAGTAAAAAGAAATGCAAAATATAGACAGTAAATAGAGATATGAGGCAATAAGAATAGTAATATCGAAGAACCATATAGTTTTATTGGGTATTATAAGTCACAAGGAGTAGATGCATCTGCGCCAGCCATTGAGAACGATTTGGAGGCATATCACCAATCGTCTCAGCCATTGGTTTTAACCATCCCGAGGACCCAAACCAGGAAGTCTACACCTCCCTACGCAACTGGCTTAAACTAACTGTTGTGAATTTCATTGACTGATGAAGCCATGTTTTAGTTTGACCACCACTGGCTCTTTTCCAACCTGATCCTATGTCTTCCAGACACTCTCAGAGTGCGATTCACTTTTGTCAAAGGCAAGATGATGCTACAGGACTGGACTGCATCGACTGATTGATAACGAAATCTCAGTACAGTAACAAGAAGCTCATGGAGCATTTATCAATCTTTATCATCTTTGGTGTAGACGTGAGATATCCAGCTATCGATCAAATGAACATGTTTGTTGAAAACGGAAAATATGAAGAGACTAGCTGTCTTTAACCATAGGTGTTTGTTTTATCTCTCTTATCCTAAGTGCTACAATATGGTGAGGAAATTTGAGGTTAGATATAGAGCACTAGGTAAGGAAGGTAAGTAAATCAATGAGATAGGTAGGTTGTGGAGCTACAATGAGCTTTGCATTTTAATATTTTTTATAACCATCACAAGTTACAAACTACTGACATCAACTAGAAAGTAGTATATATGAATACAAGAGAAAATACTTACCTCTCATATAATCTTTCACTTCATCATGTGTTTTATAAATTGACTGTTTACTAGGAGAATGATTTAAAGAATAAACTGAAGATGTCATCTTTGTGTTGGTAATTCCATTGTAGGCTGTACATTCAATAGGATTATTAGATGTCACAGATGGATTACTTTTATTGGTAATTTGATCAGACGATTTATCTGACGACTTGATATACTTCATTGCTGCATGGACTTCAGATATTTGACACATTATATCATTAATCTAAGTTTAAAAAAAAGAAACAAACACATAAATTCGATCAAATTAGTTATGTTAGTTCACTTGTTTATTGATATTTAACAATTTTACTACTCATCATCAATGATATGAAGCAGTAGTAGTAGTGTGGTGAGAGCTGTCTACGAGCAAAATTAGTAGACAGTAATTGACGTCAATGTTTACGTTCCCAAGATTTGTCGTGAGAAAATATGAACAAAGATTGATTCAAAACCGACCACAGCAGACTTTGCGTAGGCGGATACAGTTAACATATAGATGATCTGACATTTAAGAAACAGTCACAAAGAGATGAAAGATTAACTTTAAGTGAGAAACAACGAATCAGAAGACTGTGTTTGTTTGCTTAATTAAACTATAATAATGTACATGAAAATATATAAATATGCTTTGATTTCCTTAAATAAACATTCTGTTGCCTGACCCTTGTCTTCTGTTGTTACAGTAATATTAAACAAAACAGGGGGAGGTTGTTCCACCACTTATGAAAAACGGTATTATAGCGAGAGATAAAATTGCTACTGTAGGAAATCTTAAGATGAACACTAATGAGGCATTCTACATAATAACAACAGCAAAGTGAAGTCGGTCCTTCTATACGGGTCAAAAACTTGGCATGTAACGAAAAGGGCTTCCAACAGGTTGCAGACTTCCATCAACAGTTGCCTTCGATGGCTCCACACCGAAGATCAAGTGGCCAGAAAGAATTAGCAATAAGAAACTCTGGCTGGCAACAAACCAACCAAGAGCCGATTGCTCAACAAATAAGTAGGAGTTTACTACGGACTGATATCAGTTGGAGAACCTTTGAAAACCAAGGAGTACTGGACAGCCAACTGTTTCATCCTAATTTGAGACTCTGCAGGGGTACACAACCATCGCCAGGGGTCGGACCCAGGACTTACCGATTAGAAGGCAAGCTCATATACCACTCAGCCACTGGGACCCGATTCAATGGCCAGTGCATGAATTCCAACTTCTACTAACTAGTGATTTAGCGCGAACACCAACCAATGTCATCGGCGGGACATCCATCCTCACGCTTGACTGGATGGACCTCACTGGTCACGATTTCTCACTAGAACTCCAGGAAACTCCATCCAGTAGCAAGTCACTAGCGAGTATCAGATTAACTTCCAAGAGTTGGTCCTTGGTTTTCAATAGTTCTCTAATTGATAACAATCCGTGATCAACTCGTAAAACCAAATCTAATCCTTACGAACCAACTATTGAAAATATGTAGGAGAAAGTGGAGATGGATCCGACATACATTGAAGAAACCATCGAATGACATCGCGCGCAATGCAGGCCATTGCTCAAGTGGAATCCCAATGGGAAGCGACGAGTGGGGCGTCAGTGCGAGGGTGACATGGAGGAAATCGTGTGGCGAGGAAGAGATGAGAGATTATGGGCGATCGTGGACCCAGCTGAAGAGTATGGCAGAAAACAGAACAAAGTCCAGATGTGTTGTTGAAGCCCTATTTTCCACTCGGAAACAACAACAATAATAATAACATAATAACAAAACATCTGTCTAGCGTTTCTCAGCTAGCAATAGTTATCTGAGTGACCAATGCTGATTAGCGACCAAATCCATCTTCAAAACTATAATAATTAAGTAAACTTCACCTGAAGACATTTCAAACACTACAAATAAACAACTATTTACTAGAATCAAACAAGTAGTTCTAATACCCAGAAAAGGCAGCAAACTGTCTATTAGTTTACTGCTGGTATGAAAAAAGTGGTTTCTTCAACAGCTGGAACAGCTGAAACTATGAATTACTATTTGTATTAATGTTCTCTCAGATTCCGAGTGGAACAGAGAGCTACAGTAGCACATCTCTGTTTCATCCTGTTCTCTGAAGTTTGTTTTAGCAGACCACACAGTCGCGCCAATAAGCTTTTATTTCCTCCACACACGACCTCCTCCACATTACCCTCGCATCCATGAGCAGCTCATCGGTCTGACGCCAAATAAGTAAAGCGCGATCCACATAAAACTTTAGGCATATCCCTTTTCATAAAATTTTCAAAAAAATCAATCAGTTTGCTATACCAAACAATAAGACTCCTTGAAAAACAAACACAGAATAATTCCGATAAGACAATTGAGAGGAAACTGAACACCTACCCTTGGATCAGAATATTTATCCGAATTGGTTGCTTTACGTCCATAATCATGTTCAAATCGCTTTTCAAATTCTCGTACACGTGATTTCAGTATATATAAATGCTGGGTTAACTTTTGATGAATTTGATCGCTGGATTCATTGGAAAAGTCAATTCCTGATAGTACTTTAGCGTGTTTAAATTCAAAACTCGGTGGATCTCCTTCATCCTACAATTTCAATACGGGTACATAAACATTATTATTAAAAAAAAGGTTGAAATTTGAGTGAACAATAATAAAGTGTTCGATTATTGCACTCCTTATAGAGCTACTACTACCTTTTTGCGGCCATGCAGGATAGTGTTCTAGAACCTTTTTGGATAAGATATGCATCGAACGACCAATGTACCTGGCTCCACAACAACAAATGGACTGATATATGCACACTGAAGTGGTTAGAAGCAAGATCTTGAACTTAAGGTTTTTACAGACCAATGGACGGTTAGAGAACACCACTCATGGCATTGCTGCGAAGAACGTTCTTCTTTTCTCCCTTGAAAACCAGGTTCATGTAAAGTCTCTTTTTCGAAAGAATCAAAAGGGTTTGAGAACACTATCAAGCGTGGTTGCCGAAAGATAGTAACGGCTCTTATAAGGAGTGCGACAATAGAAAACCTTGTCAACACTAAACACTCCATCTCAACAATAATAAAGATCTGTTAATTGTCAATAGCATGGAAAAGAAAATTACCGAAATATAAGTGCTAAAATACACTACTGAAATACATATTCGGATTTATGCAGTGGATAAATTGATGTCAGCACACTGAAATCTACACACCAGAGAAAGCGTAAGTTGCTTACGGAGGTGGTGAAGTCATGTTGGAGACCTAGTGTAGGCCACTTACAATTTCTTTGACTGGTAAATTCCTATTGGCTGACATCAAGTGAATATGGTCTATATCCTCTGCTAGGCTCTGGATTTGATCCCCGTCGGGGTCATGAGTGCATATTGCTTAAGAGTTCGCAACTGGAACAAAACAGCTATCCAGAATTTCCTGGTTTACAATAGTTCTCCAAAATGAAGTCAGTTCCCGATCAGACTTGAAACCAATCAAATTCTGACAAACTAACCACTTGAAAGCGATTACTACCATTATCATTAATATCAGTGTCAACAGAATTTGAATATCCTTCATGACTATAAAGGTCGAATCTTTCCCCTTCTGTTATCTTTAAACCTAAGAGTAAGATTTCTTCTAAAAGAAAAGAAAAGTCCTTGAGAAGGGCACCTACGATTACATTTTTATCCAGAGGAATAATGCCGGATAAATACTGCCCCCCACACCCCAAAAAATGGGTAGAAATAAACGGAAAAGTTAGGTGTATGTGGGTGAGAACAAACTGAAAAAAAACCTAGGATGAGAATTAGGCGTATTTTTCATTGCTTTCTTTTCTAGAAGTCTAATCAATAAATTTCACCGCTTCAAGAAGAAGATTTTAGTTTCCGTTTCATAAACTCTAAACCAGAAAAAAAGAACCTAGAAATGAGTAAAAGATAATAAAAGCAGGAAAAAGTTGGTTTATGGAAGTTAATCTCTAAACTAACTATAAATCTGTACTTCTATTTATTTTTATCACTTGGATACCAAGAGTGGAATACACGGCTTCAACCTTTCAAGTTTCAGTATCAGTTTTATTGCTTTTTATACGATATGATTGCTAGCCTCAAGTACAACCTTGCCACTTTCTCATGTTTAATAACAACGTATGTTGGCGGTTCAGCGGTTAGACGCTGGTCAGTCATGCACGTGGTCTGGTCCCGGCTAGCAAGTACTTTTACCTACCTCAGCTGGTTGTAAGCCCGATGAACAAGAAAGGCCGGGCGTGAGTCTAGCAACTTTAAACCCATAAAATCACTACTGCTAATGAAATTTCAAACCTCAAGCTTGAAGCCCTATGTTCTACTGGGAAAATTAGCTAGTGAACTAGACGATTTCAGGGTTGAGTCCACCGGGTGCTGCCCGGCCGGACTACTTGTGTCTATTTATAACGAAATTAAATCCACCAATAGGTTAGGCTGTTACAGTTGATTGATTAGTTGTTACAAGTTTCCAGTTCGTTAGACAACTATTCACGTAAAAATGTGATAGAGGTTATAAAGGCATTCAAAAGAGTATGACTGTTTGCTAATATAGGTAATATACTAAGACGCATCTGGCTGCTTATTACAGCAAACAGACTGGAAATCCCTGCTGAAGTGGGATTAAACTTAAGTCAAAGGTGATAGGCTAGGTAAACAGACATATGAAAAGCAGTCATTTCCGATCCAAAAATCAATCATAGTACCTTGTTAAACGACACTGCCGATCAGTTTAGAAAACTTAAATTGTTAAAGCAACATGTAATTCAGTCTTAATTATATAAATCGCGGACAATATAATAGCAGCACTATATACATTTACAGGGAGAGAATTCAACATGCCTAGGTGAAAAACACATCCTGCAAATAGGATGAAAGCATTCTCTACCATATTATAATGCATATGTCTAAGTGTCCGAATATGAATAGTGTACAGAAACAAAGAAGGGAGGGAAGAAGAAAATACTACCACACCCATACAGATTAACCCAACAAAAGTGTAAACAGACAAGTAATGGCATGACCTCAGTAAAAAAAAGTATTACAAAACACATTATCAGGAGACAAAAAATATAATTCAATCAATACACAATGAAATGAAGTTGCAAGAAGTTGGGAAAAAACAACCCGATAAGTATTATGATACCAAAACTGTTGGAATACTAAAAAGCTTGATGGGACAAAGAATAATTGTATGTTATTACTACCTATGAGCAGTAGTCGTAGGAAATAAAACCAATAGATCTCGTAAAAAAACTGAGCGAAGAATATCCTTTTCAATACTATCCTCTTCTGGCTCCACAATGATATATATATAGAATATTCTAGAATAGTTGTCAATGACAATATTGGTTTTTTTTAATACTATCGATTTGTTATGTAAGATCAATTAAATTACAGCTTAGGAAAGATTCACAAGTAAATGTAATAGTAAATACAGAATCAAATAAAGTTAAGGAAATCTCAACAACAAATTGAGGATCATTAAAACCTTGATGAGCGTCGGTGGCACAGCGATTAGGACGCTCGCCGACCATGCACATGGTCCGGGGTTCGATCCCCGACCGACGCACTCCTTTACCTCGCTAAGCTAGTAATAGAACTGGCCAAGAGGGAAGGTTGGGCATGAGGCTAGCAACCCCATCATGTAAAAATAAATACTGCTACAGAAACTTCAAGCCTGTAGCTTGAAGCTCTAGGTATCACTGGGAACGTAAAGGAATAAAAAAACCTTGATGACCAAGATAAGCACAGTGTCTGAACCAACTTCTTTTGGTTACACAAAATTGGGTTTCTTAATGTAGATCCCAACAGCCTCAGCAATATGTAGATGAACTCTTAAGCTAAAGTCATCATTAGTTTGAATGTGGTAGATGAGTAATATTCAACTATGACCGACTGACAGGTTTCAACTTTGCACAGAAGTGCAGCAGTCCAAGTTGACACACTTCATGTAGACACACATAAGTAGACAAAAGGGAGACAAAAGATTCAAAAGTATAATAATATAATAATATGAAAAAAAGAATAGGGTTTGATGAATATAACGTCGCAGAGTATGAATACATCTGACCTGTCATCGCGAACGTTTTGGGAGTCATATCACCAATATATCTTCAGTTTTTGGTTCTAAGCATCCCAAGGATTACAACCAAGCTCAAGCTAACAGTCAAAGACTCCATGAATTGGATATTAGATTCTGCTTCCACCTTCCCTAACCATTTTACAATGTTAGCTTGTGTTGCTCGTCGAAGAAGGCAGTGGGCTCAGCATGCTCAATGCACGCCCTAACCATCTCAATCGATTGAGCTTCACAAATATTATCGATTGACTTCCCTTTCTTACCTAATAATCTACGCTTAACGTCCATATTACTCGCTAAGTTATACCATCTAAGATGGAATTATGGGTTCGTCATCATTCTTATATATCAACAGATCCAAAGGAGACCTTGTTCTTAAAACTGCAGTTGCTTGGTGATAACATCAATGAAATAATAATACAACACTTAAACAATGCAGTAGAAACAGAGTATTTAATACAGCAACAGAAGTTCACTATCTCTTCACAACTAATCAAATTTTACCTTCCGGGATTAAGGATAAACTATTTAATTTCGCCTTCTCTATGAGTATTCATCAATTTGCAAACTCCTGTGAAGTTAGTTACATTGGGTGTACGATCAGACAAGTTTATCATCAAATTTCTGGACACCTTCCATCTTGGTTTGGCAGAGGTCTGAATAGAGGTATACATAGCTCACTACTACTACCTTATCTCGTCGATACTGGACATCAAGTTGACACCAGAAAAGCTTTTGAAGTTATTTACCGTATTTCACCCAACCTTTCACATGCTCTACGAGTACGACTTTTACATACAAGAGAGGCAATCGGAATTCATCAGAACAAGCCAAATTTTTGTATTCAAAAGGAACTTGTGCAACCCTTTCTCTTTGCCATCGCCAACTACATAAAATGTATTAAGCTTTACAAATGATTTCCCCCTCCCCTTGTTATTTTATTATGACTACAATTCCAGAGCTAAATCAATTCGCTTGTTTGTATCTTGGTATTCTTAGGTGATTCTACTTAGTTACTCTATTTCTTCCTAGAAATAAGAGACATCACAGGTCTTAAGTAGAATTCTCAATGAAACTGGAATTAGTGAAGGTGGCACTTAACCCAACCAACCAACCAACCAACTCTCTCAAAGATAAACTCTGTCGACTTAAGGGTACAATAGATCCAATTAAGGAAAATAATACAATTTATCAAATACTATGCAATTAGTCACCGTGAGGTCAATTACATAGGTCAAACTAGTAGATCAGGGTCAACGAGATCATTTCAACATAAAAATCTAGCTAGACATACAATGATGATTGACCCTGATAAGTTAAATAACCTGGAAAAAACAGAGCTCAGTCATTGCACTGCATTCACTTGCATGTTATCACAAAATAGGGTGAGTGGGACAGGGTGAGAGTATTAAGAAGTAATATAATTAGGTGGAAAGAGAGAGAGGTCAATCACTGAAGCTTTGTTTATCGACTCAACATCGCACACATGCAATCTGAATGACGCAATGCCTATATCGGAGATATGGAAAGTATCAACAAACAACAAAGGGAAGTTGGGTAAACAGAAGGAGATAAAAATATATCCGTTAGAAAACCATTGAAAACCAGGGGGTACTGGACAGCCAACTGTTTCATCCTAGTTTGGGAATCATCGGCAGTACGCACCCACGACCAGGGGTCGAACCCAGGACCTTACGGTTACAAGGCAAGCTCACACGCCATTCAACCACTGAGACCTGATTCAATGGCCAGCTCATGAATTTTAACTTCTACCAATTCGTGATGCATTTAGCGCAACCACCAACCAAAGTCGTCGGTGATCAACTCGTAAAAAGAAAGCAACTAATCCTTACAAACCAACTATAGGAAAATATAAGTAAGACAAACTGTAAAACCATGTGACTAAAATTGATATGATTATGTGTAGCAATAATTTATGCTCGAAACGTCATCCAGCTGTTAATACTGCGTCGCTGTGTGATATTTGAAATAAACTTATCTAAAATGGAATTACATTCTACCACCACAGTGCTCAAGTTTTTCACTTACACTATTTCTTCTTAGTCATCATTATTTTGCATATTTCTTGATTACGTAATAACTTGCTGTTAAACCCTTCGAATTAACTGATACTGAATTCATGCAACATATGACCCGCTCCATTTGGATCAATAAATCTCAGTGGTTTCCTATCTATAATCTCATGACTCATTACTAATATTACAGAACTAGGCACATGACCAGTAACCGTACTACAATACATCTAAATCTATCGAAAAAATCACGTGATGCGAGAAACAACACTGACCAAAGCAATGAGGTATTCACATTAAAAACTTACTGTCAAATTTATTTTCTGCGATGTAATACTATCACTACAACTCGGCTTTAATGTATGATTGAAGCCAACTGGATAATTAGAGGGATCTAACTTTTCAGTGGTGTTGAACACTTTCCATTCAGACAATCTTTCATGGAATAAATGCTCTTCAATACATGAACGAATAGCCATTTCAAGATAAGATGAAATGATATCACAGTTGGATGCTTTCGTCTTCAACGGAATATCATCTGCTGTATTTAATCCTTTCATTGATGGCGTCATTGTTGTTGTTGTTGGTAGTGCTGTTGTTTTTGTCCCTGTTGTTGAAGTCATAATACCACCACCGCCAACTCGTGAACCAGGACAATAAGTACTTGTAACTCGATTCATTGACGGATACATTGTTGTTCCAGCCATAGTAGTTGAATGCGTGGTAAGACTTTCTGTTTGAACATCCTCGTCGCCGCCTTCATCATCGATGTCATCATCATTGTAAGAATTCATTTCGGACATATTATCGGGTGTTTCATTTCTATGAAAAGAAGAAGACAAATAGTTACGAGTTTAATAAATTTGGTGTGAAAAGTGTTGTACAAGCTTTTTTCTTTCTTGATTCCTTGATTTCCAAGTGGAACACAGGACTTCACGCCTCGACGTTTCAGGAGCGCGGAGATCCTAGCCTCCTCACCACCAGCCTTTTCTCTTTTTGCGACCTTACTACTGATCAGACAAGGTCCAAGAGTGCCTCGGTTGGGAATCAAACTCTAGACCCACCGGCTTATTCAGACGCCAACTTTGTACAATATAGACACCGAGAGATGTGTTATACACAGACAATAAAATACAACATACGGAAAAGAAATATAATATTTGAAGGACAGTATATCATGAGAACATGCAGGCACATTAATCAAGAACATTTAAAGTAGTCTTAATTGCTTCATATTACGTTCCAAAAAATGAGGGAAAAGGGATAAATTGCAGCACATTTGCCATTGGCTGTGGTTATCAGTCATATCCGATAGATAATGTGTATCGAGCCACTGATTCGTGCTATCTCTTAGGGCTCAATCGTGAGGTCATGATGCACTGACGGATGTTAATTCAGCACATCTCTACCCTTCATCACACGGTGACAAGTCATGGGTTGACCACCACCTTACCGCTTTATCCCCTCAGTCCCAGGATTAGCAAACAGTGAACTGTATAGAAGTCTCTGAGAAAACATTCCTGGTACATATCCAAGCCAACAAAGCCAATATTCCAAGATGACATCACTTATTGAAAGACAATCATAATAACATACGAACAAAAAAGTTCAGCAAATAAGTCTCTTTCCCGCAAATTCATTCGTTTAGCTGTACAATAGCGTTTATATACAATTATTTTGTGTGTGTGTGTATATTAAGATTGTCAAACAAAAATAAAAATTAGTTAGAGTTATCGCTTACATCATCGAAGTGAATGAATAATCAAATTGTATCCAGGGGGTGAAGATTAGTTGCGTAATGTGAAAGACATCCAGAAAAATAGGATGTTAACAAAAGAGCGTGGAGACAAGTGTTCAAAACAAATTATGTAATAGGTTGAAAGAGTAAATAAAGGGTTAGTTCAGAAAAAAGATGTTACTAAGAAGTCATACAAAAATTTAAACAAAGCAGTAGGGTGGGTGGAGAATTTTCTTCTGTGTACATAAATCAAGGTTTTCTATTCGGATTACTAAGGCCTCGACAATGCAAAGTATACAGAAGCTTACCGTTTTTGGGGGGGAGGTTTCTTTCGACTTTGTAGATAACTTTGCATGGATTCCCCTGACATATTGAGTCACCAGTGCTAAATATATGTTCAATTATAGCACTCCTTTTATTGATCCACTGTTACCTTTTCGCAGTCAAGCGGGATAATGTTCGTTGATTCTTTTAGGTAAAACACGCATCGAACGACCTATATACCTTGCTCCAAATGAGCAAATAAATTTGTAGACGTAAACAATATCCCTAACTAAATTTTATTTTTGTTTGACAATCCTAATTAAAACACACGCACAAAATAATTTTACATAAATGCGCTTGCACAGTTAAGTGAATGAATTTGCTAAAAAAAGAGACTCTTCGCTGAACATTTTGTTCGTATATTCATGTATGGATGGGTATTTTTCGTGGATCACAATGATGGTCTAAGCACACAGACCTAACATTTGTTTACTTAATAATGCAAACGGATGCCAGCAGTTCTACGGAAGCAAAAATGATCGAACAAAGTCATAGCACATCCTCAACTCATAGAGGCCAAATATCACAGGTGTGGAACAATACTGTGCATACCGACCCGTTGTAAACGTGTGAGATACACCTGGCATACAATTAAAGCATGGTCAGAATCCGCAAGTGCTACAGAAGGATAGGCAGTCCTGTATGTATTAACATTATCGGTAGCTGTTATCACTGTCATCTATAAGAGTTAAGGCAGTAGTGGTAGACGAAGGACACGAAGTAGCACCATGAAAAAAGCAATATCAGTTATTTAGTACTGACTGCAGAAGAGGTCCCTATTATCTAACCTGCCACCGTCTAGTCTTTATTAGAGATCTAAAATTCTCAACTTGGAGCCTAGAGGCCCGAACCGCTGTTCGTTTACATTCACCATATACTTGAGTCAGGATTTAGCAAATCTCCTAGGTGTACACTCCATGTCCAACTGTCCGGTGATAAGCGGCGAATATTCACGTTCGTCCCCCCCCCATTTTGTTACAACACCACCGCTTCTATGTGGTGGCATGAGGTATAAATGCGTGGTCAGATAAGAATATTTCTACCCACCCACCCCCGACCATAGTAAGTCATCAATCAAGGTTTGTCTTAAACAAAATATTCCCATATAATGATATGGAACTTCAGGAACTGTTTGTTTTCATAATACAAATCCACCTCCGACAAGTCTGAATTCATGTTAGGCCTATAATCTAATGTTAGATGAATTGAGACAAGTGGCTGGAAACTCAGGTCTCGTCATCAAGATACATAACTGCTACTTTGGAAGAACCAATCTTCCCATAAAGATTCAAAACTAGCACCAACTAGTTTCGCGACAAGCATAAAATATGGGTCAGGGATTTCTTGACAGTTCTCATCAATCAGTTAACATTGTTCCACAGTTCACTGAGATGAACTTGACTGAAAGCAATCGATGAGCACACTAAGGTCAGCATGACACTAGCAACCCATTAGAGACCAATCAATATATTACTAAAGTTGTCCTTCAATATGGTACTCAATAGATAGATGTTAGTTAGTTAGTTAGTTAGCTAGTTGTAATCACTAGACTGGATTAAAGATACCTCAGACTGTGGCTTTAATGATGTATGTATGTGTGTATGTATGTCGGTCGGTCAGTTTTCGACATAGAACTTTGCACATATGTGCGGAAGTTCAAGTCGCCTCCATGTAGCACACAAAGCAACAGAAGAAAGTAGAAGAAATGCATAACATAGTCAGTAAACAGAGGTGTGAGACAAAGGAATAGTAGTAACGAAGAACAATATAGTTTCATTGGAAATCATAAGTCACAAGGAGTGGATGTATCTGCGACAGCCATTGAGAACGATTTTGAGCCATTGGTTTTTACCGTCCCGAGGACCCCAACCAGGAAGTCTACATCTTCCTACGTGGCTGGCCGGCTTAAACTAACTGTTGTAGATTTCATTGATTGGTGAAGCCATGTTTTCGTTTGACCGCCGCTACCTCTTTTCCAGCCTGACCCTATATCAGCTAACATGGCCCATTGTCAAGGAAGGCGATGACTAGGCATGCTTGCGTGACACATGTCCTAACCATCTCAGTCGATGTAATTTCACAGTCTCGTCTATTGATTTCCCCGCCTTACCTAGCACTCGACCGATGCCTAACCTCAATATTGCTCACCTTATTATACCACTTCACACGGGAGATAGAACGCAGACACCTATGATCGAAGACAGCTAATCTTTTCATGTCTTCTGCTTTCAATGGCCAGGTCTCACAGCCATAAAGGAGGACGGAGAGGACTGTTGAGCAGTACACACGCCCTTTGGTCGATAGTCGGATATCACGTCTACGCCAGAGACGGCGTAAACTGGCATATGCGAGCCTAGCCCTCTGTTTTCGTGCTGAGATTTCGTCGGAGATCAAACCGTTGGGGCTGATGGTATGTATGTAAATGAAAATGAGGTCTGTTAAGGAAGACATGAAAGGGAATAGAAGTGTAAAAGAATACTTTCTGTGCGCTGCTTACCTTGGTGAACAGAATCAACAGATATCGTCTAAAAGATGAATAGCCGCCCTACGCAGTTGCACTGTCACATTTAAGGCTATGTATAAAATTGTGGATCCTTCTCCTCGTCAGCAGAGTGAGAGCTTAACATTGAACACATTATGTTGGCGTGTCGTCTTTGGCTTTAGTGTTAGTCACATATATAGGAGGAACTAATACAATACGAGGAATGAACCATGCAATCAATGAAACCACAGCTATAAAATTTCATCCATTTATGGAATAGGTGCACTTTACAAACATAGTCATACACATTTATGTATTTAGATGCATATTTTTGCTGCTTAACTGATCAAGCCTAAATACCATAAGATCACATGCCATGCTCTAGAACTAACCTACTTTCATTAACGCCTTAAAATATGAATGGCGCGTCCAGTGAGTGAGTCGTTTACTTTTTTTTTAAATTGATCAAAGAAATTACAAATATGCATGCAATTTAAATGTCTTAAGAGTATATCTGATCTAACAGAGTTTTAAGAAAAAATGAAAGCAAAACACATAGTTTACTGGAGAAGAAGAAATACACGAAAACATGTGAGCATAATTTAACATCAAAGAGAATTATGTCGGTAGCTGAGATATGTTTACGACTATGCACTTAGTTAGAGAGTGCTACTGCTTCGTTAAACTCAAGTCTAAAGCCAACTAAAGTTTAATTAATACAGTAGACAACAGCAGACGCATACACATATATATGCGCATATTAGTGTAGTCACCACACATATAATTCTGATTACAGTCACATAAAACGCATATATACATAGAACGTGGTGTGTCATCGAATGATCAGATTGCCAAATCTACTACTTCACTTCTGTGTCGGTAATATTCAAGGATCTAAAACTCACATCATGTGTAATAAATCACTCGAAGAGAGCCAAAAAGATTGCCTAAATACTCTGGGACTACTATTTCACAGTGATAAAGAAACAAGAAACTTCAATTCATAATACATTTAAACCTGTCTAGGGAATTCAAATTGACAATTTGTAAATTATTTAATAATTTCAATTTACACACCTCGAAGAGCTGCAACCTACCTCACCACAGTTTTCTTTAGAAAACCAAATTATTCAGATCCCAGTGATAATCAAGAAAGCAAGTAAATAAATGCTCAAGTAGCTGACCAGAAATCGTGTGGTTCGAAGGAATTCGGCTCTATGAGCTGAGTCAAACTGGGTACAGACTGCAGATGAGCTCGGCGCTACACGAGTGAAACGG